TATATATTTAGTACGCAATCAAAATGATATTGATATTAAGACGCGTTCACATACTTCTAATTTAATTTTTCTTATAGAGTGTAATGATTAGCATGATTAGAGATACATTCTAATGGCAGTAAATAATCACTAATGATTCATTAAACATTTTGTTTTGGTCAGCCCATATGTTAACGATTAGTATAATATAAAATCACAATAAAAGTAATTATTAAATTGATTAATAGTTATTAAAAAAAAATGTAATTAATAATAAATTACAATTATAAATAAAAAGAATGAATGATATTAAGCTACAATTATTTAAAAAAAACCTAATTTTAATTGTTCAATACAAACAACGAATTACTTCCTAACTCTATTTACAATAAAAAAAGAAATACTTAGATATCGTTGACTTGATAACAATTAACGTGTAATCGTTTGCTTCACCCGAGTAAGCCAACTAACATTTCGCTTTTTTATGTAGCTCTGACAAAGACATACCAAGCTATTGTTTGAATCGTATATGATCATTGCAGAGTTAAACAAACACTAAGCAAATTCCACAGCATAGTATTCTCGCGGAATAACATTCGGTTGCCACATGCAATTTATTTCTTTATTCCAACACGAGCTTGTCAAGTATAAAACAACAATATCTTTAGGACAACAATATTCTTAGAATAACAACGTGAAGCAACGAAAATCACTTGAGGGTTATTAATCGAAATAGTTGTTGAACAAATAGTTGTCGGAGTATTATTACGATGCTATTCGCATAATTCGCTGCAAATTTAACGAAAATCATACTATTTCTATTCATACATCAAAGTATTTTTTAATCAAAATATCTTTTAATCAAGAATTATGTTTTTGCTAACGGATAAGAAGAATTAAGCAGAATTGTGGTTAGTAAAATAATTATTAGGAGTCATATTATAATTTATATCTCTGTACATTTAAGATAATTAGAATTTGTTTAAATCTTTTTTGTAAAAACAAGCTTGTGGATGCTTCTTGCACTGTAACTCTTAACAATTATATGTAGTACCCGTGAGAGCAATATAGAGTCAACAGAAGCGTTAGTTGCAGCATAACATTTACCGAAGAAAATATGACATATGGTAATACTGTTTTCAGAACTTACAGAAATCGCGCGTTGATTATGATTGTATTATTTAAAACGGCAGGATTATTATCTGCTGCATTTAATTGTTCTCATTTGTCGTGTAATAATTTCATCGTATCCGTGAGTTAGTAATTCACCGTTTTTATGTCCATATAAATATGCGAACTGGATAAATGAAATAATATGGATTAGTTGGATATGAGGCATTTTCGATATTGCTTTTATAGCACTATAAAAGCAAAGAACAGTGTTCGTGTCTGTGCAAATTTCTTTCCTATTCAGTTTCAATCCGATGAATAGGATCCATACTTTTTTTTAGCAGAGTTAATGATCTCATTATTGGAGCGAAAATTTGCTTGCTCGCAAACGTTTTTCTTTGTTATCCATCAATAATTATTATTTATCTTTTATAAAATGAAAACATTGTGAAAATTATATCCTCTAATAAATACATTAGAGTCTTTCGTTTATGCAACTTGATCGTCTATGCAAGCGTGTAAGAGGAGTAGAAATGAATATTGGATAGAGACGAGAGATAACAGATGCAAATGGTTCTTTCATCCATTTTTGAGAGATCAGTGTTCATTAATCTTTCTGAAACAATTTCGCACACTCGCTGTACGCTGCCAGAATAGTTAAATGGATTTGTTTTAACTGACCCATTTCTCTCTTTTGCGTTTACTAGTGCATCGACCGCAGAAATAATGAAACGTGCAAAATATATACATATATACGTTAATACGCGTATGTATGTATATATATATATATATAT